GAGGTAGGCTGAGCTTAGTATAGCTCTGGAGAGACCTCTTGTTTCCAAGATGAGAGGGTGTGTGACTAAATCCCACCAGAACGCCAGAATAACACCCACTCAGGGTTGTTTATTCCAGAACACCAGCCACACCTTGAGAATAGCCAAGTCTACTGGAAGGCGGCTGGAGTATTTTATGTGCATCCAGTGCACATATGTGCCATCCATGTGACAAAAGGGAGCTGGGTTAGGTCAGAAGAAAACAGAAATGTTGGATGAAGCATTGTTGAGAGTCAATTCTTTGTTAAGTCAGCCTTGATTGACAGCAGCAGTCACCTCTGGCCCTCTCAAATACATGGAAAGCTACCCATGTGGGAAGCAAGTCAGAAGCAAGTCAGTCTTCACCTGAAAGACATCTATCAACGGTGGTTCTAATTCTCCTACTTGCTCAGTCAGACCCAGTCTCATCAGGTCATCAAATGTCTTCCCTGGGTCTGAAATTTACCACATGCGTCTCTGGGTACAGGTAAGCACACAGAAGCACCTCCACCATTATCCCATTTGCAAAGCCAGTTTAATCTAATTAAGGATTCAAGAAGCATATGCATAAGAAATTTAATCTTGAAGATTTCTAAGAGCAGGCAGAATGACAATAAAAGGTGTCAGAAATGAGCACACGATTAACTGAAAAGTGAATTAATTAACAGACAAAGTTACCCTAAGAACTGAAAGGAAGGAGAAAAACACGTCAGAGGAGATTAGAAAAGGAAAGATAACCTTTTGGAGCCGGTTCCTTCATCCCCGAAGGGAGCATGTTAGACTGGATTAGCTCTAAGATCTTAGAGTCTGTTTCCAGAGTTGCACGTCAGCCTCAAACTCACAGTGACAGCCATAGACATGTGCCTGTCACATCCCCACCATGAGAGAGATGAGACCCAAGCCAGCTCATCTAGAGACACAGAGGCCCACAGCCAGATCTCCAGCTTGCTGCTTCTCTCTGTGCCAGTGAACCCCCACTCCAAACAGCTGGTGCAAGAAATTGTCAAGTCAGGGCAGGACATGTAGCTCAGTGGTAGAACTGAAAAGGCTGCCAAGGCCCTGATTTTCAACCCAAGTATCACACACATACACACATCCATGTGTGCACACATGCAAACATTTATAAAAAGTATTAGGTAATTATTTAATTATACTTTTATTAATTATCAAGCTATATTAAAATAAGGTACTTTGCCAATAATTTCAACTTGAAAGGCACTTTAAAAACTTTTTACTTTTGTCTGTCTGTCTCTCTATCGTATATGTGGGGCTGTGGCTGCCATAGCAAGCATGTGGAGGTCAGAGGACTACTCATGGGAGTAAGTTCTCTCCTTCTACCACATCAGGTTGTGGGGATGGAACTCAGGCCATTAGTCTTGGCAACAAGTACTTTTCTTTACCCAAAGCCATCTCCCTGGCCCTGTCAAAGACACTTTATTACTCTAAAGCTGTATCGGTGATAACTCTTTTTCTTTATTAATGCTGTCCAACACACACACACACACACACACACACACACACACACACACCCCACTGTTTTATTCTCCAGAAACAACCACATGTTGGTGAAGGGGACAGAGCCGCTATTATCTGAGAACTGTTTTAAGCAACCGATGATAAGTTTACATACAAGAGTTCAATGTGAATGAAATGACTAGCTTTTAAACACACTGGTTGGGAAATATGGTTGGTGAATAAAGCACTCGTCATAAATGCACAGGACTGGAGTCTGGCGCTGGCGTTGTGCACTGAAGTAAAGCCAGGTGAGTACTGTGCAGCTTGAATCTCAACCCTCCTACAAGATGGATCGTGGACAGAAGGATCCCAGAAGCTAGTGGGTCAGCTAGCCCTGTGCACACATTGAGGAACAAGAGACCCTTACTCAAACAAGGTGGAGGGAGATAGGTGACATCTGAGGATATTCTCTGGCCTCCACATGCATATTGTCACACATAATTGTGCACGCATGCATGTCCCCCATACACTGAAAATAAAAAGCAATTAAAAAGCTCTGTATTAGAATATACAAACCAGTGTTTATAAAACACAGTCACTAAAGAACAAAGATGCAAAGTCAATGTTTTGCCTTCAGCAGCACTGAACTATGATGCTTTCTTATTTTTTGTTTATTTTGATGTGCTGAGACAATATCTTATGTAGCCAGATTGGTCTTGAACTTGCTCTGCAGCCAAGAGTGGCCTTGACCTCCTAACACTTCTGCTTCCACTCCACAAGCAGGAGGACACTAGGCAGACACCACTATATCCAGCTGATTTAGTGCTTAGAAAAGAAAAATCATGCAACACACACATTTTATAATTCCCTAGTAACAAAGAATTCAGGTTTAAAATCATATTTAATCCTACCCATCCCATGATTCTAGAATAAATATCAGAGTCCCGGGTAGTGGCCAATCTGGCCTGCGTGAGGTAGAACTTAGCCTGAGAAAGAGGCCGAGATGGCTCACGAGGGGCCCACACACACCCTGCCTCAGAGGACCACACACCTCAAGGATCATTTTGCCATCCACAATTAATGCTGGCCCCATTCTCTAAAACTCAATTTAAGGTAGGGAAAAGGGAAAGAGGCCTCTGGACAGGATATAAAATATATGCCTTATGTAAATGTCTCCAGATTTCATATCTGCTGTTCTGCTTCTTTAGAGAGAAGACAAGTAGTCCAACACTCAACTGAGACCTGTGAGAAACACACTCCCCAGTTGAACCTGAGAGATTGCAGGTTGAAACACAAAAAAAACCTAAAACTGCCCTTAATGGATATCTTTCAAAAAAATCACAAAGGGGAAGTCTTGCCTTAGTTACTATAAAAGCTATTTAACCTTATTTTAGGTATTGCCGTGGAGCATAAAGAAAGCACCGGTGCTGGCGTTAGGGTCATTAGGAAACACTGCTGTGCGTTCTCCTCGACCTGTAAGTACAAAGGCCATCTAGACAGCCCCGCCGCCATTTACTGAGAATGTCAATCAACGATGAACAAGAACAGATGGCAGCCATGGTGCCTGCAGGAGACCTGGACATGCAGATGGGGACACACAATCATTTAATACCATCATGATCTGCCACCACCCTGCCACCTCCCAGAGTGCCCGTGGCCCTCAGGACTACCCCACTCCTCCCGGAGCTACCTGTCAGTCCTCTGGTAGGCAGCTTGTAGCTGCTGTCTTCTCTAGCATCTGTAGTTTGACTTCACCTATACCACCCAGGAAAGAGCACAGAAGACTGGCTTTGCCCAGTTCCCACAGGTGGGCAGGTGGCTAGCAGGGAAGAAGTCCCCAGAGGAGGGAATGCAATTCCACTTGAGCAGTCTCGACCAGGTTAGAGTCATTTACCCTAGAGATCATTAACCAGGTGCTCAGGCCTCTTGGCAAGAATGGAGAGTTTGGAAGTTGAAAGAATGTTACCAAACACACAGTTTGAGTCACCAGGAAGAGTACATCAGTGTCCAGGCAGGAGCAGAAATGAGGTCACCCCTGGCTGGGGGAAGAGGACACTCCTCTGGAGCTGCCAGAGTCTATTTGGTCTTCCTGCTCCCGTATGGGGGGGACAAACATTACCACATGTGCAAAGCAGCCTACAGGGAGGAATTATCCACAGATAAGGAGTGCTAGGTTTTTTTCTCAGCCATGTTCAAATGTCATTTTGTGGTGGTGGTTTTGGCTCTACAATCTCATGTCATCCACAGGGAGAACAGTGAGTCCCTATAGAATTAACCGTTCTGTGTGCCTCACATCTAGAGATCCAACACCACATAATTTGCAAGGAAAACAAGTCACCATGAAGCAAGAAAGGTCAGAAGTTCAATTTCACACATTACGAAGGCCCATGATTTTGAAGACTCCTGACAAATGTTTTGTTTTCTGGTGTGTTTCAAGCTATCCCCACAAGGTTAACCTCCTCCTTCTTCCTAACCCATGAAACCACACAGAACACACATGCCCCGTCTCAGCCTTTGTGTAAGGTGCCCAAGAGCTTTTTATCATTTATTGATGGGTATGTTCCTTAAATGCACCCTTGCCCTGGTCTTCCATTCGGGGCTCTAGAATTCCATTGTCCTCAAATCATATATTTGTCATATAACATGCTTGGTGACTTTGTGACCTCATGGAAAGACAGCTTACTACAAGAAATTAATTCCTGTATTTTTCTAAATGGCATTTACATAAGTCCTCTTTAACTTAGAAACAGAATTTATAAAATGCCCATTGCACGTTCTCTAAAAGAGGCTAACAGTTCCTATTCTGAAGACTGAGAACTATGAGAAGCTAGTGAGAAAGGACATCTCACTGCTCAGTATCAAAACTTCCTGACAGGACGCCTCTCTCCACACAAGAGCAAAATGATAAAACCTGTGCAGCTCTGTGAAAGCTAAACTTAGGAGTCGTATGACTTGTACCCTCGAGTTTCCTGTGTGGTCTGTGACAAATCACGTCCTAGGAAGTAAATCTCTAGGGATTCAGAAACATACCTATCCCATGGCAATCCAGGTGACCACACTGGCAATGCTTTAAATCGGAACAAATACATAATGAAGCCTAAAAACAAAAGAGCTGTCCTTATTTCCACCTAGAATTTTGTACCAAATTTCTGAACTCTGTGTGACAGATCCTTTCACTATGTCTATTTTTGACATTTGACAGGAAAACAGCAATGACAAATGCATCATTTATTCATGGGGAAAGCACTAGAGAATTATCCGCATAATCATTTTCAGTGCTGTACAGTGGGAAGAAGCCTCGGGCAAGATGACAGAGGTTAAGCACATAAGGAATAATAAAAAAAAATTATGCTATATGTTTTGATACAGGTATCAAGGCATGCTAAAAATATCCAATGAGCACTTTAAGAGAGAGAAGGTATAAGCTCAAAGACTCCTCTAAATTCTAGCACATGTAGGTTAAAGCTCATGGATCCACAATAGGAGATCGTTCTGCACAGATCAGGAAAGAAGACAGACACACTTACCAGATTCCAGGCAGGAAAACCTCCTTTAAAAGGGAGAGGGAGAGGAAGGCTGGTCTAGATGCAGATGGTTGGTCTGTTTCCCTTAACAACAGCAAGAATGGAAGAGGAATCCTGGTCTCTCCAGTTCCCTACAGGCAATCAACAGCCTGGAACGGGTGGGCGGAGCAAGGTGCTGGGAGGGAGGGCTCTGTAGCTACTGCCCAGGTAGGGAGGTGAAGAGCTTCCCACCAGGCAGAAAACACTCTGAAGCTGTGCAGAGCTGGCTGTGCTGAGAGCTGTCTGGGCTAGAAGCTGCTCCTGACGCCTGCCTGTCTCAAAGCATGAACGAATTCAAACGTGTGGAAGACAGAAACAGCTCATCACAAAGGCAACCCAGCCAAACACTACAGGCAGAACTCGGTGGATTCCAGAGACACAGAGAACAGATCAAGCTCTGCAATGGTGCCCTGCAGCCAAACTGCACCTTGGAAGTTGACAGCCAAGTTTTAAGAAGTGTGCAGTCTGCCCCAGGTGACCTGGAACCTCAGAGTCCCTCAGCTATCTGGAACACCCCTTTTACAATGAGTGGCACAGGATACAGGAGCAAGGGAGGACAGCCCTCCAGAGTGCTTCCTAAATGACCACACAGATGTTAGGAAGAGTAGCTAAGGGAGCAAGAACGCCCCTCTAAGCATTTCTTGTCATCCTCATAAAGACGAAATGAACCTTCATTTTTATTCACTAAAACCTCTTTTCTGCCCTATGCTGAGAAGCAGGGAGATTCTGGTGGTCTTGAGAGCAACATCCCGCCATCAAGGTGCTTTTAACCTCTCTACATTTCCTTACCCTTTAGCACTGACCTACAGTCTTCAACCAGCCCCAGCTACTTCCTTCCGCTTCCCTCAATGAGGAGACTGACTCAGGAGGCATAGTCTGGGCTGCCCGAGCTCGTGCCTAACAGGTGCAAGACCCTGGCTTCATCTCCAGCACTGCTAACGAAACGAATCCATATCCCAGTGCACATTTACTAACACAAGATCCTTTCCTTTTCACCAATGTCTCCAACATGCTGGAGGCACCAGTTTTAAATTCAGGTTTGAATCCAATGGTCAAGGAGAGAGAGAGCCCATGCATGACCCCTCAGACTCAACCTTGCCTAGGATACCAAGTGGCAGCCCAAGATAGAGGGGCCTCTGTCCAAAGTTCAATGTAAATTCCCACTTGAAAGCTAGTGTCATAGTTTCAATATGCTTGGCCCAGGGAGTGGCACTATTTGGAGGCGTGGCCTTGTTGGAGTAGGCATGCTACTGTGGGCATGGGCTTTAAGACCCCCATCCTAGCTGCCTGGAAGCCAGTATTCTGCTAGCAGCCTTCAGATGAAGATGTAGAACTCTCAGCTCCTCCTGCACCATGCCTGCCTGGATGCTGCCATGTTCCTGCCTTGATAATAATGGACCGAATCTCTGAACCTGTAGGCCAGCCTCAATTAAATGTTGTCCCTATAAGGGTTGCCTTGGTCATGGTGTCTGTTCACAGCACTAAAACCCCAAGACAGCCAGGAAAATGCTCGCTTCTAAAAACCAAAAATACAGAGAGGAGCTGACAGCAGAGCCAGGGGCCTTTGCCTGTATGTTTCCCTTTGAGAGGCTAGAGATCAGGCTTGCAGATGGTACCACTCTTTAATGATGATGAGGAGTTCAAGAGGATGCTTGATCCTACCTGAGCTAAGAGACTGCATCCCCATCTGCTGGTGGCCCTTGTGTACTTCAGTCACAAACCCTGCTCCACCTTCAATCCACTCTGGAGAGGTAGCCATGGAATTCCTGTTTTGTCACAGATACTCTCTGACAGCCAGCTTCGCTGCTCAAGGACAACCTTCATTCTCTCCCTTCAGATCTGATTTCCAAGCTTCATTTTTTTCCACACTTAAAAGTATTCTTTTTCTCCCTCCCCACCTAACATCTGGGAGTGTAGTTATAAAATGAAAATTCTCAGCACACAGGGAGAAAACAGAAGTGAGAGCCAGTATGTCCCACACGTAGAACAAAAAGAGCACCACTGAAAGGAAACCGACGTTACCAAGTACACTAAAGAAGGCAGCTGAGGATTCTGAAACAACCAAAGAACAGAACACCTTGGGACTGGGCCCTACATTGTGTGTGTGTGTGTGTGTGTGTCCTATAAGTTGTTCTATGCAACTGGAGAATGTGTTGGCAGCCAGTCACATTTAAAGCAGTGTTCCTCACCATTTCTCTTCTCCCAGGTGTCCATTCATCCCTCGGGATTAGTCTACATCCAGCAAGTTATAAACTACCAGTACCAATCTTAGGATGAGAATTACCAGAAGTGAGGACTGTGAAGAAAGATGACCTTAGAAAACTTGTGTTTACGAGATGCCACTGCATCAAGTCTCTTAAGGGATGCTGTGATTTATAAGAGAGCAGCAGGGGAGAGTACAATAAACATTAGATTTCGTAAGCAGCTGCCAGGAGACTGGCAGTGATACAGGCAGCCTGGGGCAGGGAGGAGGTAACAGACAGGATGCTACTGAGTGCACTGAGAAAGACAAGAATTGTCAAGACTTCACACGGTGGAAAACATCTGTTTTGTAGCCTCACTGCCGCAGTGTATTGGTTGTCTGTTAGTGCAGATACAGCAGAAATCCCATTTATAATAAGCTTAATTTTATCCTAGAACAATCAAGAGGTGAATTTTAGTAGCTCTGCATTCCAAGAAAAAGTAATGCCAAGAAATAGCTCGATTGTAAAAGGGCTTCTGGTCAATAAGTCTAGTTCAACAATGGTCTCCATCTCTGCAGAAAACAAAAAAAAAAAAAAAAAAAACAAAAAAACCCTTCTCTGATGAGGGGTGAGAGTCACTCCTGTTGTCAGCGTTAGGAATGTAGCTAAAGATTTCAGTGGTTTGGGAGACGGAGAAGGTGCTCACCAGCTGCCTAGGTTTACAGCATGAACTCCCTCCTAGTGAGTGGGCCTTAACTCCAATTAGGCAGCTGCTAGCTAGCACCAGCCTATAAGGGCTACTGTTGCACTCTGGGATATCTTATCATTTTGGCTACTGTTGTGGTGCATGGGTATCACTGCAGGGTAGGACTCCTGGCTACTTTCTCCCCTGGCATCTTGGAGAACACCTTGCAGTACTGTGAAAGCTAGTCTTCAAGAGGAGACAGATCCAGCTTGATTCTTCCAAATCATTATAATATGTATATATTTACTTAAGCATATGTATGTCTATGTTTGTGCAAGAATAATAATTAAAGAAAATGAAGCCATGAGTTTAAGCGGAGCCATGAAGATGGGATGGAGGGAGTATATGTGCATACTCTATATGAAAATATAGGATGTACATAAAATTATAAAAATAAAAGATTTTTTAAAAAGGATGAATGGAGAAGAAAAAGGAAATATAGTTCAGCCAGGTCTGGTGATGCCCACATAAGAGGATGAGATGTTAATACTGACAACTTGAGGCAGGCAGATTGAGAGCATCAGGCTAGGCTACAAAACAAGGTACCACAGAATGAGGACGAGGAAAGAACGCAGGCACCTGGGTGGCAGGATATTTATTCTGCTACATTATATTCACAGTGGAGCTGAATAATTGGGCAGTAGAAGAGGAGATGGAGCTGGGAGAAGGAAAGAGGAACGGTAGGGGAGAAGGAGGAAAAGGAGGAGGCTAGCAACCATGGAGAAAGACTGATGGGTCGAAAGCAGTCCTGGGTAACAATTTATATCTAAAGGTTAGATATTGAGTAATAATTCTAACTGTGAGGACATCTTGTTAACTGAGCATTTCTAAATATATAAATCTACTGGATAATCTTTAAGCATTAAGAGTCTTCATTCTACCGGGTACCATCAGGATGGCAGATATTGTTTGGGCTCAGCTGAGCTTTGTGGGGACATCGTGGTGGACTGGCAGAGCCATCTGCCACCACTGTTGTCTCACGTGTGCCAGGGCCGGTGCTTCTAGCTAGCCAGAGCCGCAGACAGAGCAGAAACAGCGGAACATGGCGGCTGCCCGGGAACAAGCTGGACCATGAGCCATTTTATAAATATCTCCTGTTTCATATCTGCCCCTCTCCTAAGTGTGTATATACTCATGGCCTTGCTTTCCTCTTAGTCTCTAATGTTTTCAAAAGCTTGCAACCAACCACAAGTTCATCTGCCAGGCCAAGGCCACAACACAGGCTGCAGTGTTTTGCCGAAGCATGACAACATGCACCAATCAGTTGTTTAAAACAACTACACATGAAGCCAACAGAAAGAATATAGTGCCATGAGCTGTTGGTAGCATGTATACAGCCTAAAGCAAGATCTTAAGCTTATCTAAAACACGGTAAGACTGGGGGTGGGGAATGGCTCTATGGCTTGGTTCCCTAGAAGGAATTCTGTAGAGGCTCTAGAGTGTGAACTTTACCGATGACAATATGGTGCCCTAATAAAATGTTGGATACCACTATGGGTGTCCACATATCAAATTCCTAAAAAGACAACAGCAAAACCACTTGGCTGTCTAGGATCTATGTCCATGGAAAAGGCTGAGTGCGACTCGGCAAGAGCCGGTTAACTTCTGAAGGCACACACCTGTCCTCTTCCTCTCTGCTGCAGCACCTCACAAAGTTTCAGTCAGCATGAATCTGGGCCTACTAACCTCATTCAGAACAGAGACAAGGCCCACTGGGCTGCATCACCACCAACTAGTGGGACAGAAAGGAATGATGCCTGTGTTTGGTTAGGTAGAAAGCAAAAATACCATGAAGACACAGACAAATGAGTCAAAGCCAGCCAGCAAATACCACAGAAGTGACAACCTGTCAAATAATTAACCTGATAAGCTAGGAATTAGGAGACCAGAGAATGAAACCTAATGGTCCCTCTCCCTTTTTTGCTTAAAAAACTATTTTTCTTTTTTCATTCATTCATTAATTAATTCATGCATTCGTTTGTTTTGGGACAGGGTCTTTCTATGTATCAATGGCTGTCCTGGAACCTCTATAGTTCAGGATGGCCTCAAACCCACTGCTAGAATTAAAGGCATGTACTCCAATGCCCAGCTATTTACGACAGCTGTTTAACTTACC